CAGTGAAAGATTTTTCTTCTTTAAAATGACAACAGCTTCACTGTGAATATATTCTGTATCGCGGGGGAATTTACATACATTAATGAAACGGACACAATAAACACCTAGACTCATAACAACAATTTTGGAATCACAAAAAGTGATGTCCCATGTTGGGATCGAACCCACAACACTCAGCGCAGTAGGAAGGTGCGAAGTGACCGCTTAAACCACTGCCATCCGTGCAGTATATCCGTGAGAGTCGTGCTTCTGTAGGAATAGGCCGGAGCTTTACAGAAAACCGGTACTAACCGTGAGAGCGAGTTTGCCGGCAAGACAACCCACCTCCCCTGATTTTCATGTTTCTCTCAAAAGGCGGTAATGCACATGTGATTTTAAGTTGCAGATTACTAGTTCGGTGACTGATCTGCTTGTATTTAACCTTTTAATATGAACTAAAATACCTTTACATATAGTTGTAAAAGCAAGAAAATCATGTTAAGCAGTGAGTGTCGCTCACATTAAGATTAGTCCCGCCGTCCGGCGTTCGGGCACGCCCCTCGGCGTGGTGCGGAAATGCTTTTATTGTAGAAACGGAGCCGCTCGCTCGTCGGCCGCCTGTACAACGATATTAAGTGCTGTGTAAGTTTTGTTAGGTGTATTAAGTACTTTGTAAAACAATTTTAGGTACAGACAATTACTTCAAAAACAACTTAAATGTGATATAATGGTGTAGGTACAGCCAAGTCTTCAAAAACATCTTTATCTGTTTACCAATGTATTACAAAGGTAGTATATTATGTTTATATTGTCTGATAAGTTAATTGGAAGAAGTATTATAAGAGTTACCTAAGCTAAGAGTTATCAAAATTTATTCATGCGAATTTTGAAGGTTAAACGTGAGATACAAAGTGCAAGTGAAATTATGTAAATATAGGCACTAAAATAATAACGATAAAGATTATTATTTAAACATACACTCATAAAACAACGCTTTCTGATAATAATTCAACATTATTTGTACTATGGAAACCAGACTATTGGTAAAAACAACTATTTAAATAAATACGAAAATGTTCATAAGACAATTATTTGTTCTGGTTGGAAACTTTAACAATCAGATGGCCCTTCTTAACTAAAATTAATATTACCATTAGGATCAATAGTTCGATCTTATATGATATATGGTAACCATGGATTCTATTCCATTCTCCCTTAAATTATAGACAACATACACTCAGTGACGTTCAGAGACGATTAGAATAAAAATCTTGAAAAATGCGAACGTATTCTTAAACCAAGATTCGATTTGCATAAGCCCTTCGATGCACGTTTTGTGACAGGTGCGTGGCTCCCATGCATTGTAACAAGAAGTTTTAAGTTTGTTACGAGACTGCTGAGCTGTATACGATGAAATTACGGTTCTGGCGCAGGTGTTCAGAGTCACACGTGGTGGGCAGCTGTTGGCCGAGTTTAAGTGTCTGGAATATTTTAATGCAGTTATTTTAATGAATACCAATGTTTAATTGAAGGAATTTGTACAATATTAGAATAACTATTCCTTTGTATGGCATTCCTATTTGTTAGATACACTCATAAGTAACATCTGACGTCGACACGACAGGGCCTCAATTCTGCTATTTTATGTTTACGCCAAGCCACTGTCATACCACTGACACGGTTTAATTTTATTTTTTTTATAATTTATTTTTATTTATTTATTTCTTTCTTTCAATAATTTATTATAATAAAAATAAATAAATAATTTCCTCAAAAAACGTAATATATTTTCAACTACCGATATTTATACCGATGCCAATGGCCACTCAATGGCATCTCAATAGCGTGTCAGTGGTATGACAGTGGCTTGGCGTAAACATAAAATAGAAGAATTGAGGCCCAGGTCTCATAACCGCTTGTCACCTAAATTTTGTGTAATGGCAATAAATGCACGTTGTAACGTGCGTGTATCTTAGAAGATTCAAAGCATCAGGTTTAGTCAACAAACCGTTGTTAGTGACAGACATCATCTCAGAGTTTGCCATTTTTTAATATAGTAGCCAATCTAGTTAGGTAGCCTGTTTACACTGGCAACATTTATAGTGTCATTAATATTTTGTCAACTATAACCCCTCTTGTAAGCCTTACGGCTCTCTAGCCGTAGTCTTTTGTGAAGTATAGTCTGCAAAGTTTCTTCTTAAATATAAAGCGGTTTCTAACATATCTAAGAGAGCACCTTAATTTGAATTAAACTGTCCACTGTCAGCCTGTGACCGACAAAATGGTCAAAACGTCGTCCTAAATGGTATTTGTTATTTATGTATTTCTGTATGCTTGAGCGCCTTATTTCTTGTGTACGAATATCACTTTATATCACCGAACACGAAAAATTTAAAGTTAGTACATAGTAGTCACCTCGAAAATATTCTCTCGAACTGGATATTGCCTTACCACAGAGTAGTTAGGTACCTACGGTTGACGGTGAGATGAATGTTATTTCAGTCTCCGGAAAGGGGACTATTTTCAGGGATTCTATTTCCACATCTCACCTACGTCCTACGTATAATATCGACGTAAGTAAAAATATATACTTTGAAGTTTTCGATGTCACTGCTGTACGGCTTTGTGTAGACTCCCCTTCAAGTATAAAATTGGAGAGTAATTTATTCTCTTAGCTTATAGTATAAGCAGGATTGATAGTATGCAAGGCTTATTTTGTAATTTTCTTAAGTTTATTTTGTTAGGAATATAAATAAAAGTTACTACTAGAATTTAGTATTACTAGTCAGTATGGTGGGCGTTAGCGGACTATAGTAGACTACTGTTAAAAAAGAGGTAAAAAGCAGAAATGAGATGTGTATGGTAATCCTTATATTAAATTTAATGTTAAAAATACGTTAAACATAGTTCGATTTCATATCCAAGTCAAATCGTAACTTTCTTATATTGAACTTAGGGAACCGTCCAATGCCACAATAGTTATTTTAACCAAATGTTTATTTTGCATGATTTATCTTTTAATACGTGTACCAAATATTGTGTTATTAAATACTTAAATATTTTGCCATATAAAAATATAAAAATAACGTAACTAAGGAGGTGCAGTTAACTTTCCCTCTCAATAATTAATTTACGATTATTAGCGTCAGATACAGAAGGATGTAATTATCATAAAATGATTGTCGTTAAAAAGCAACAATGTAAAACGGTTCATCTAGTTTGTATTACATTGTGAAATACATACATACAAACTAACAAGGAAGTACTAAGAGACCATAAAGCACCACACTAAATAACACAGTTAATACAGTGATCGCGTTAATTCTTGTACGTATGCACATTAAAAAACAAAAAATATAAGAAGTCTGTGTTGTTGGGATGGTTTCCTTTGCCCTACTAAGAAGTACTACTAAGAAGTAGTATAAATGTTGACATTTTATTTTATTCGTTATTTTATTTTATTTTACCCTATGTAGATTATCTTAGTTAGTAAATAAACTTATCTATTTATATCATGTGTCCATAATAATACATATCTATATATACGTGTTTGTATTACATATGCTATACATACGAGTATGTACATACTAAATGTCCTGTAAGAGTAAGAAGAACTGGTATAATACAGCCAGACTTCCAATCTATGGTGTTTTTATATCCAGATTCCACACTGTTACTGAGAATTATCAACAGATATACACCAAAATAATTTACGCGACCCTGGAATCAAACCCACGTAGCACATCTATCTAACAATAACAAACGATAACTACGATCGCACGCTACTGCCTCAATACTAAGCAGTCTATTTTCTTATTACAGTGAATCCTGTCTAATAATTTATAAGTACTTAAATAATTTTAAATATCATATAACTTGTTGCCATGACATCAACACACAAACAGACATACGCGTCACAGTGACTCACGTTATAGAAATACAATTTGGCTCGACCAGGATTGAACCCGGTCTATTTGCGGTCTGGCAAAGCGCCAACGTCGTCTGATTGTTTGACCTGTTTCTACCGACTCTTCGAGTCAGTGTAGCGATTGCTTTGTATATTATCGTACTATTGAATGTTAATGACAGAAGACTTGACGCGTTTGGTAACCAGCTTTGTTGCTATGTTGGGTTTGAACTAAATGTCTATCTTTTATCAATAATTGTACATACAATAGACGATTGCTTTGAGGTTTCCCTTCTTTCAGAGTACCTCTTTCCCCTCTAGCCTTTAATAGTCCACTGCTGGACATAAGCCTCTCCTTAGGAAGGAAGTTTTGGCCTACTATACTACGCTGGTCAGACGGGTTGGTACAGGGTTTGTGTCAAGTTTTCCTTCTCTCTGCAGTGCTGTTGTTCTGCGTAGTTTTTACCCTTAGTCGGCTCTTACGACAGTCACGGGGTGAATAGGGGTGGTGACACTCTGTATTCTTAATCCGTCACCACACGGACCTTAATCCGCCACCACACGGACCTTAATCCGTCAACACACAGCCATTGAAATCGAAAGTAAGATGATACTTTGAAAAGATGGTAGGTAGAAAATAACTAGGTAAAATCATAATTATGAATAGTAATATTAAAAGAAGTATGAGATATTAATGGAATATACTGTAATTGTAATATATTGTAGTAAATTAGACAAAGCGTTTCTTTGTCTAAATTTCTAGTTATTTTGCCGTATGTAGGACAATATGTAGATAGGAACGTATAATAAGCTCTATCAAAAATGATTATTACTCTCAAATTAATTTAAGCTCTGATATCTTCTTTCTCAGTCCGTGACGAATCCTACCATAATAGGTTTTTTGTAGTCCTGTAGAAAGAACACATTACTTTGACTAAAACTTGATGATGATGATGATGATGATGTAAGAAATTGCAATATTCTGCTAATTCGCAGACAGAGAGACAAAGGATATAGGGTTCTTTGTAAGATTCTGGAACCATAAAAAGGCGAGAGAATTCCAAAATTTGCAGCTCTGGTCAAATAATAACCATTCATTTTCTTTTCTTTGCAGGATTCTAGTGGGTGCTCCAGAAGATCAGCTGTATTCTTCATATGAGTATAACGTGACTCGTCCAGGTGCAGTCTACCGCTGTGAGCCTGGATTCCGCAATTACGGCTCGGAAGGGGCCATCAGGATACTTGACAGGTGCTCACCTATGCAGTTCGACAAGAATCCAAGTAAGTAGATTCATTGTATTACCTTCTAGCCTTTCCCCAGAGTTTACACTTGCATTCTTTGTCTTACCCCGGTCCTAATAGTTGCTAACTAAATTTTCCTCAAAAGTTATTAAATTCGAAATAGTGACCTTGGTTATGAAATGATTGCTCTTCGGTATTTACCTAAGTTTAAGTTGCTTCTCTTTTTATAGCATAATGAACTTCCATCCCCACTCTTTTGATGAAATGCGGATTGTTTTTTCTTAACCTTTCGATGTCCTGCTGTTATTTAAGCTTATACATCGAATCAAATATCGAATTAAAGTGCCAACCGATCAGAGCACACACCCTTTTTTTTTCTGTACGGAAATCCCCTCGGATATCACCCACCGGGGTGATTATGTCGGACTCGAACCGACCAAAAACCGCACGCCGTCTCGGGTACTAGTAGCCGGGGAACTAGGTGTACCCTAGAAAGGAAATCCCTGGTACCCCGATGTACCTCGGGCCATCCACGGCGTTTAGATGTTCCTTGTGTGCGAACCCCCATGTTCCCATTGTGCTCCCAAAAGGGCGCGCGCGCTCGGCAGCGCGTCTCGCCGTCACTCCGGCCTGCTTCTGCTAGGGTGACCTCACCTGTCACCCCCAGGCCTACGCTTATGGAGGACGGAGGTCGTTCTGCGACCTCCGGCGCCCGAGTCGTCTAGACCCCCTGAATTTAGGTTGAAGCCGCCATATTCTTGTAGCTTCATACCTAAAATAATTACACGAATGATGGTCATTTTTATTAGAAGGTCAGCTTAGTATATCCATATTGTTCACCTTCAAAGTTAACCATTCCGTATCACCTTGACACTTTGAACAGTCTTTAACATTAATCTACATACTGCATGAGATCACCTCACACATTGCGATACACTGTATGAAGTAAATTAACGAGACCTCTCTGCTACTTTATTTGCAGTTTATCAAGCTTTATTAATAAAATTATTTATTACCTTATTTAGTATGTGGATCCTTTGTATGGTATTGACTGATAAATGTACGATGCATTTTGTGTTAAGAAGTTACCACTTTTTATCTTACAATTGTCATATTTTAATAATTTAATGGTGCCTCGGTTATATAAATTGGTGCTTATTGTGTGGGCGTGAAATTCTTATATTGATTTTCGGATTTTTGGTTCTTCTGTTAGAAAGTTCTTAGTAACTGCTAACCCGAAGTCAGTTCATCAATCATCATCAACAGCCTTTGATAGTCCACTGCTGAACATAGGCCTCTCCTTAGAAAGTCAGTTAACGTTGCAAAAATTAAATACCTATGGATTTTTAGGGACTACTCCCTATAACTTTCGTCCCTTTTCGTTTTCACGGAGGTTAATATAAGCAAATATAATTCAATATCTTTGAATTGCAACACCTGAAATTTGTACTAACGTTCCATTTAAATAACGTATTATATAGGTTATAGCGGTCACGGCCAGTGTTACTTGTTCGATACGTAGGTAAGGCAATTCAAAAGTATATGTTTATAATAACTATATCGTAATCATAAACATATATACCTAAAATTTAGTTCGATAAGCTTTAATTACGTATTTAAAGTAAGTTTCTAGCAACTAAAACGGCAATTATTCTCCATAATCCGTTGTTTAAACGAAGAGCCATTCAGGTTTAAACTAAAGCAGCATTATCGTGACAAGATACATGACGTTCATCTACCATCTGTTTGGAACAAAGCGGTGCGCGGGATTCATTCGCGGAAGTCTTGGTATAAATCAAGTGCGCGTGCGCAGTAGCTGTCCCTGCGCTAGCGCAATGATACCCATGTTAGATGTCATGACGTCGTGATTTTAGTCGTTATAATGAATGTGTACCATGTATGTTGGGAAATATGAAGTGGAACTAAGATAAGAAGGTTAAGACAGAAGCTTGAATTGTTGAGAAGCTTCCAGCTTTTTTAAAGTAGTTAGATACTCATTAAAGAAACTACGGTTTTATTATAGTAAGTTTAATAAATTAAGAACAATGAATGACCAGTGTAGTGACGGATTAAAAATACGGAATGTCACCACCCCTATTCATCCCGTGGGTGTCGTAAGAGCCGACTAAGGGAGCAAAATACGCAGGACAACAGCACTGCAAAGAGAAGGAAAACTTGACACAAAAGGCTGTTGATCATGATGATGATGATGATGAATGACCAGTATTTCAAATTATTTCGAATAGTAAAATTATTCGAAATAACTCTAAAGACACTATTCGAGATATCCTTATTCTTAAATTACAACTTATATAACTTTACACATCTCACACACGGCTGACTGATCGCAAACTAGGCAGGCAAACACCTGTACTATGGTAACCAGACTGCTGATAAACATACTTATATATTGCCAAATACATACATATTTTAGATAAATCACACCCAGACACAGAACAAACGCTCGTGCTCATCACACAATGATTTGACCTGGGTGGGAATTGAACCCACTACCTCCGACGTAGCAGTCAGAGTCACTAACCACTAGACCAACAGGCCCGTCATTTGCGCGCAACTCATTTAGATATATTGTGATACAGTTGGTAGATATTGAATGGTGACCATTCAATATCTACCACTAATAAACAGACAAGCAAGTTCTTGCTGAACTGGTTCCTAAACGATTTCATTGACGTTGTTATTGATAAAGCAGAATAATATATACATACACTCCTTTAAAGCTTTCGTAATATCAAGTGAATAAGTTACATTAAATGTGTGGGTAAGTGAGTTCTAATATTATTTTGTATTAGATTTTACCCGCGGCTCTGCCCACGTGTATGTTGATAATCGCGGTAAAAAGCCTTTGTCCTTTAAAAAGAATCAAACTCCTTTCAGCGGTTACTGATTCCCCATACAAACTTTCACCCCCTTAAAGGATGATTTCGAGGATAAAACTGTCCTATGCCCTTTCCCGGGACTCAAACTATCTTTGTACTAAATTTCATGTAAATTGGTTCAGCGGTTTGAAGAGGTAACAGACAGACATACATACTTTCGCATTTATAATATTAGTATAGATTAGTCTCGGAGAACACGTTAAGCCGTATGTCCCGGTTACCATTTGAACGTGTTTGGTAAGCGTTACGGGAAGTCGGAGCCCTAAAGAGTCCAACAACAGTCTATCCACAGAACTTCAATATCGTCTAGTAAGTATTATGGTTATAGAGTTATAATGGCAGTCGCTCCCCGTAAAAAATCGAAGTTCAGCCGTATCGTAGTACACTTAATCATCATCACATCATCAGCCTATCGCAGTCCACTGCTGGACATAGGCCTCTCCCATTGCACGCCACTTAGATCGATTTTGGGCTTCTCGCATCCAGCTCCTGCCAGTACACTTAATGCCGACCCCAAACTAGTTTGGGACAAAGGCTCGGAGGAAGGAATTTTGTCATAGGTGTATTGTTACCGAAGCATCGAAAAATAGCTTTTCGCTTAACTCGCTTAAAAATAACGCTTAAAAATCAAAGTTCAGCCGTATCGTAGTAGACCTCTCAACCTAGTTTGGAAAAAAAGGCTCGAAGGAAGAGTTTCTAGGGCAGTTTAATGTGCATTGTATTTCTTAAGTTACTGTCTATAAATTGTCGAAACTCTTGGACATAGTATGAATTTGGTTAGGTAGATAAAATAGGGTTTCAGATTTATAAATACCGGATAAAAAATTTACGTGTGAGTGACATTCCTGCAATGTGTGTGTGTTAATTAATCGTTGTTTGCCATGTCTAAGGTTCGTAATTTTCATATTTGTTACAATTAACTAACAATTCGTTTTTAAATTTTACCAATATTAAAGAAATTTAAAATTTAAACAATAGGTTTAGTCGTTGCTAATTTCTTCGTCATTTTTTTATTGTATTGTTGACACTAATACAACATGTATCTTAATACCCTATCCTCCATTACACTTACTGGTTGAGGTGTTGTGTGTTTTATGCCTCTTAAGAGCACCATTATGTCCCGGCTATACAGAACACTTTCAAAAATATGACCTTAGCCAAAAATAATCTGAAGCTCAAATACGTTTATTACACTATAAATTTAATCACCATTTCTCTTCGGAAATTCAAAATAAAATCATAAACTACCATTGAATGAGTGTACAATACTAAAGTATCTTTTAATACGATCAATGAAATATTTTTAATTTTTGAGTACAAGATTCATGCGCGTGAGTCGATTCTTAACCCACTTTGATATATGTATGTAATATCCTGAGTAAGTATCTGGTTCGTTCATATTTCTTTTTTAATAATACTTAAATACGAACATGGAACAATGAACGTTAAGTAATTACCCTTGCTCGTTATCATTTCATTAAAATTATCTCTTTACATTTCAGACAAAAAGTCCAAATAGGTTTTATTTCAAGTTTTTCCTCGCCACTCAAAAGACACGTGTCTGCACTTTGTGTGCAGAATTAAATGTAGGGGATTAGTGGTCGGAGGGGTGGGTCGGGGAATTTTAGTTTAAAATTGCTTTTTACTCACTCGGTGGAAAGCAATGAGCAATTTTTTGTCCTTTGGTACTTTGAAGTTCAGGAAAGTCATTGATTGAGAACTGTGAACGAATTTTAAGTTAAATGCCATTGTTTGTCCCTTTCTTACGTTACGTACAAATGTGCGTAATAAAACACCACAGTTTAATAACAACACATTCTTGTCAATAGGGGCGAAAATCCTTTGTGAGAAAGATTCTGATAGACAATATTCGATTCAGCGATAAATATTTACCAACACACGGTGGATTCTACGGAGCATTAAAACTACGTGTTAATTTAAAATTGTATGATTGCAACCTTCGATTACAAAACAAATCTGATTCATACATTTATTCCCCATGAGTCATGTATAACTTTCGCTTCGCTTATTTAATATGAACCTTTTGACCCGGCGGTTTGTGGATTATAAAGGTGAATTAGCTAGTGGTTATTAAAATGAATATTTGAGCTTTATATACGGTTTTCTGTGTTTATATGA